GGTCTGTGTTTTTAAGTTTCTGTAGAAAGTCTGTAGTGTCTTGTACAAAACTTGCTCTGTGGGTGACGAGCAGTTTTAGGATTGGTTCAACGAAACCTGATATTTCCTCAGTTAGGGTCCCACAGTTGGATATGATAGGTCTGCCAGGGTTCCCTTGTTTGTGAATTTTAGGGAGCATGTAAAAAGTCCCAGGTTAGGTAGTGGGGGGATCAAGGTCTGTAGTTTTTCTTGTAGTCTTGATGGAAATGATTTGATGGTATTGTTGAGTTTTTTGGTGGAAAAGGGAGTAGGATCTTGTACTACTTTGTAGTAGGTGGTGTCAGAGAGCTGTCTGTTGGCTTCCTTTATGTAATCTTCACGGTTTAGGATGACTATGGCTCCTCCTTTATCTGCTGGTTTTATCACTATTTGGTGGTTTGATCTTAGAAATTTAGGCCTTTGGAACTTATTGAAACTGAATGCTTATACAAATAAAAACCATGGAGGAACCAAATGTCTGGAATCAGTCTGACCTTTGGATTCTGTCTCAGGGCCCTAAACGGGGGTTGGAAGGTTTGGGCAGCCTCTGCTCCTCCAAAATCTCCTGACTAGGTATATGTATCAAAGGTCTGGTTGACCTCTCATGCATACACCATGATCCGGAAGGATCAACAGTTGCCAAACTTGAAAAACAATGATGGGAATAACCTCATAGGAAGGGCTTACTTAGTGAGGAACATAATAGAAAGAAAAGATTATCCATTAAACTTTCTATAGCAATACTAGCTGGGGCACTTTCCTGGGGGCTGCTCTGCCACAAATAGTCCTACCACAGTGACTCCAAACTCCACCATAGTTGTTTATGCTTTTTTGTAACCTCTAGACTGTTGTTAAAAACCTAAGGGGCTGCTTGCTTGGACACTTCAGACAATGAGGGGCCTGAATCACAATTACCTGATAGTATTTAATTATTAAATAGGCTTTAAAGAATTGGTTTGCTTTTCAAATCAGTTGATATTCCAGATGTTACTTTTAATTTGGGAAATGCTATATAGTTTAGGTTCTTTACATCTCTTTAAAACTTACCTCATTGTCTACTAATGGTTTGGGGCTGGTGGTTGCTGAGAAACTAATGGTTCCCTTGAGAACACCTTGGCTAGGTACAGACATTCAAAAAGCCTAAGACAGAATCAATCTAAATTTCTGTAAGTGGTGTAGATTAAATTAGTAGTGAACAGAAGGTGCGTACACCATCTGATGTGGGGGGTCAAATCTTAGACCAGGTTCCACCATTTTTAAACCAGTCTATATGTGCCAAGCTTCTATTGTGTTATTTGTATACACCAGTATGCTGAACTTCTGTTCTGTTACAGGTATAGACCAGTTTCCAAATCACTTATACTGGTAAAAGTGTAATATCTGTACCTGGCCCTTGTTCCCTAGGGCTTTCAGTACCATAATTCATTCTCTCCCGGGCTCTGATAGAAACACAATTTGACCTTTAAAGCATGATCTGTTTGCTCTCTCAGGAAGTGTGGAAAGGTAACAAAAAATACTTGAGGGGGGGGAGTGGAATGAGAAAGATAGGGCAGAAAGGCATGTGTAGAACTTTCTTTGATTCTGTTGATGTTTTGTCAATTTAGATCAGCTATCCAATATACATTTTTCATGTCTGTGTTTAGTGAAATGTGGTATACGTTCTGAGTAAACTGAAATGATACATTTTTGGAAAGCTACTGGTGGTTGTAATGAGCATGAAGTAAGCAAAACTGCTTTGCTTTTTAGTAATCTTTTTCTAATTATTTTTTGTACAGGTGCTAAAAGAAGCTTCCCAAACTAACCTCCTTGCACGGGTGTGGTGGTATAAGCCCTTCCAGTACTTTGAAAAGAATGTTCAAGGAATTGTACCTCGCTCTTACCATTGGCCTTTTCCCTGGCCAGTGCTACATCTGAGTAGGCAAGCTAAATACAGCAGATTGGTGAATGACACATAACAACTATAAACAATTTGGGGAAAGGAACTGTCCAAAGTGCTAAGAACTCCATGAGAGAAGATGCCATAAAAAGTGAACTACTCCCTGATCCTTTCTTTTAACAGTTACCTTGACTTAACCTATTCAGTTACCTGGTAAGCACTGTGATCTCTTTTTCTCTCCAAAGGATCTACGTTGGACAACAATAAAGAAAATTTAACTTATCATGCACTGTATACACTTCTTGTTAATAGATTTGGGATTTACATTACCCATCACCACGTTCCTTTGTATATGATGCGACAGCATAAATGAAAGCTTTTATATCATAAGTTGTGGTCTTTCCAGTCATGTCTGGGAATAAAGCATATTATTTTCTTGGGAAAACATACTTTTCATATCTCTTGCCCCAAAGATTGGGCTGTAAGCCATTTTCTAGCAAATGTCTATATGAAGGTTTCTAAATACCTGACTGGGGTGAAATTAAGGAATCTTTCTACCTGTTGCACCAATGATTCAAATAAAATGATAGACACAGAAAGGTTTGGTAACTTGATTTTGTAAAACAGCAGTGACAGTATCAAAAAGAAGTGCAAAAAATGATATTCTGTTGTAAAGTGATTTTCTAAGTATTTCCTAAATTTATTTTTCAAAATGATATGTATGGAAACTAAATTTAAAAAGATTTTTACATGTCAGAGAAAAGTGAGTTAAAGTAAATGCTTCTTGGGAGAGAGAGATTTGTCTATGTTTCTAGTGCCTTTCTTGTCTTGATTGTATGGTCAGTAGGCAGTCATAAATGTTTTTATTTAAAATAAAGTATTCCATAAAAACAGAAGTAAAAATACTGTATACTAAATTTTGCGTTTATAGCTAACTTAAACTGGAAATTTGCTTATAATGTTGACGTTGCAATGAGTATGGAAAAACCAAAAATCTGTTCACACATTGTGGACAGATCCTAATAAAATGTACCACTTTAACTTATTTTATTGTCTACTTGGTAGTTGAATTTTACCAGAAAACAGCCATGAATTTCCCCTTGGAAAAAAAAAAAAAGTTTTGCAGAAGATCACTGAGTGAACTCTGAGTAGTCTCTCTATTCCCTTAATGAAAACGTTGAAAAACAACAAAAATAATCTATTTCTTTAAAATTATATTTGTGCAGAAACTGCATGTAACTCAAGTTTCACTCCTACCATACATACTGTATGTTTGGGGAAGTATTTTATCCTATATTTGCCAATGTGCAGAACAAAATAGTTTTTTTTAAGAATGAAGAAGAGTGTGTATATATATATATATATATCTATATCTATATCTATCTATCTATATCTATATATATAGATATAGATATATCTATATATCCATTCTGTATTTTACGTGAAGCAGAGTTATCTTCTGTAGGGTTTTTGTGTATTCACAAGGTGATATTTGTATTGTAAAACAATAATGGTGAAGGAAAATAAAAAGGCTTTTAAAAAATGTAGTTTCCTTTATCTTTTTAAAATTGTTTCTCAGATTTAACAGTAGGATTACTCTTCAGAGACATATCTTTGCTTTTCTGTGTTCTACTGAATTATAGGCCCTCAAAGTTGGACTGTATTGAAACTGCATTAATTTTTAATTGCTGTTAACACTTAGCAAGTCAGTGCCTTATTTTTAAATAAATGCTATGCAATAGATATTACTATTTCAATCTGATACTAAATCTTATGAGCCTTCCTTAGATTCATTATTTGAACATCACTAGGGCTTGAAAAATCTACCTGTAAACTATTAGAACCAAGCTTAATTGCCCGGGCAGAAATTTTCTGGAGTCCTTACCTAAAAGCTACTCCACCTACAATTGAAATAAACATCCTTGTTAAATTTCTATTTTAAGAAATCGCTGTAAAAGTAAAACTGCATACCTTTGGCAACATTTACCTTTATAGCTCTATTTCCTGGCCCTTTCTCTGTCTCAGTGTTTAAGACACGCCCCCCCTCTCCCCAAGGAGCATGCCTTGTTGCTTCACATAGCTTTCCAAGTATCAGCAGAATGAAACTGACCTAATTTATAGCCATTTCCTTACTACTCAAAGGTTTTTTTCACTTCATTGTTTCTTGGTAAAGCTATGAGCAGCAACTGTGGAGCTATTTTGTCTACAAATTTAGGAAAGCAGCACTGCATTCAGTTCATGTTTGCAAAATTATTTTTGCAGAAACGGAACCAAAAAGTTGACTAAAAAGTCTTGAAAATTAATGATCCTTGAGCAAGATTCCAGCTCCTAGAGGCATGTGAATAAGTAGATTTTTCAAGACCTGGCATCACATGCATCAAAAAACATTGACATAAATGTATGTATGAATATATGCACATTAAATTTAATCTGCTGAACTCTGCATTGTAGTGTCTGACTTCCTGCATGAGTTTGCCAAAGGTGTTTTGATTTGCTCAGGAGATTTTCACTAAACCTGTTGTGCCTGGTTGATATTTTGTTCAGTAGTTGGAAGTATTAACTGCTGGATGACATGTTTTGTTGTTCTCATCCAGTGGATAAAATCTGACCAAGGTTGTGGGGGTGCAGCAGCAAGTAGAATTCTGAGGCTTTGGGAGTGTAAAATATAAAAATCTAAGATGTAGGACAAAACAGCAATAAAAGAAGTTAAGGGGGAGAAGAATGGTATTGCAAAGAGACAAGGCAGTCTTTGAGGCAGTATCCACTACAGATGTTTGGAAGGATACACAGGTAATAAAAATGAAGAAACTATAGAGTCAAAAGGTGGGTGGGGAGTGGAGCGGGGAGGATGAACTGACTGAATAAATAACACCATCTTGCTTTGCCATGTGATATATCAAGAGTTCTGGTCATGCTGAGAGAGAGTTCTCACTGATTGGTATCACTGCCCCCTTGGGGGTAGGTGTGTGTGTATTAGGGAGTTAGGGGGAGCCCTGACTCTTTCCCACTTTGAGACCCTGATCTTTTGGTCCCTGACCCTCCCTGAACAACAGAACATTTGTTCTGTTGTGCAAACTCAAGGAGCTAGCTTCCAGTTTTGCTCTTGAAAAGGAATTTATCTTTTGTTGGGGAAAACAAGTACAACCCCAAGTTCCAAGCAGCAAAACGCACAACTCATCTTCAGTAAACTGGGACAAAGGCCACCCAGCCAGAAGTTCTCTGCCCGCAAAAGGTTAAGCAGTCCCTCTGTCCCCAGTCAGCAGGCAACCCTGAGCACCCCAAAGTTACTCGCATCTCTTTCCAGTTGTCCCAGCTCCCAACCCCAAAGCTGCTTTGCAGATCTACCTTCACACTCTCCGTTGCTTTCAGGCCACCACACTGTTTCTTTAGCTTACCTCTGTTCCTTTGATGCTTCCAGATCATCTTCTCCAAAGGAGGGGTACCAAGCCCATCTGAAGTGTAAATATAGCTGTTCAATTCCTGTTGATGCTGAGGATCCCCCTAGTCTTGTCCAGGCAGCTCTGGAACTGAACGCTTCATTCTTTGTTTACATATAAGCCAATGAGAGAAACTGCAGCATGCAACATAACAACAACATGAATACATTTAAAGCAGTAATGTTACAATTTAACACCTGTATGCCATTACAGCAGAGCCCTATAGCTTAATTTACAGGGAATACAAGCCAACATGTTACTGTATCATTTCAAGCTGGATTTGAAGTTTAGAGAGTCATTTCACAAATTGTCCACAGTCAACAAAAAGTTGTCTTCATGTCTCTAAAATTGCTCAGTGTGCGGCGATCTCTGTTTCAGTTGTTCCATCTGTAATTTTCCAAAAGAGGTAATAAAGAGCTAATAATACTCATTTGAAGAGAATCCTAGATACGTTATCTTACTTTGGTGTTTATGTTTCTAGGGAGAGAGTACCAGGTTGAGCAGCGCTTTACTTCTCATCAGCCCGTAGATTTCTTGCATCAGATAGAGCTCATCCACACACAAGAGAGAGCTTTGCAACCCTTCGGATTTGGCTGAGCACTCTTCCCACGAGATGTCCGGGTAGTTGAAGTCTCCCATGACAACCATGCACCAGGAGCATGCGACCTCAGCCAATTCCCTGGCAAACTCCTGGTCAAGCTCTTGATCCTGGGTAGGAGGTCTCCAGTATACTCCCACCATTGTGTCCCCTGTGCCGTGTTCCCCACGGATTTTAACCCAGAGGGTCTCCAGTCGTCCGCCCTGGGTGCCAATGTCGGCTTGCAGGGACGCATAGCTTTCCTTGACATAGATAGTTACACCCCCGCCCCTTTTGTCCACTCGATCTCTCCTGTACATGATATAGCCATCTATACCTGTGGCCCAGTCATGGGTGGAGTCCCACCAGGTCTCCATTATTCCTATGACATCGTAAATTGCATAGTATCTTAGTATTTGATCTCAGCACTGATGCGAGTCTGAGACAGTCCTGCAGAGTAAGGCAGTATTATACAGTAGGAAAAAGGGTAAGAGAGCAAGGACATGTACTTGCATTACAGTCCAAGACTGTAAGCATTTAATGCCATGCGTAATGCTAATTCCATAAGTGTTTATAGGACTTCTCTTAAATTTGAAAATGAAATGTTTCTCTGTGCATAAATTGAAAAACACTAGTTTCTATCCTAGGGATAATACCCCTAATAACAGAGAATTTCAAATGAACTCCTGAAGAGGGGAGTTTTGGAGTACCAGGATGCTTTTTCCTGTGTTCTGAGATTTAAGCTGTATCCGTCTTGTGAATGCCTGTATCATTGGATGGCAAGGGCATATGCATACCAGATGTGTTGCTTAGAAGAATACTATATACTCTATGAAATGTTCCGTTCCAAGAAATGCAAAGAACACAAAACCTGGTTCCAGCTATATCTTATGAAGTTTATGTGATACGTTTTAGATGCAGGCACCAGAAACTCAGGTGGTCACCAAGTGTTTTCCAGTTCTAGCTCTTCCCTGAGACACTCCATTTTTCTTCAGAGAGAGAGAGAGTGGTAGTATTTAATGGTTCTAAGCCCGGAAGATATTTGTCTAGGGCTTTTCTGGCGAGTAGGCCTGCTCATTATCTTTCCTAAATTATGGGATTTCCTGGTCCTATGAGTATGCAATTGAAACCATGTGATGTTCAGTTGGTGGTCCTCAGGCTGACTATGGAAGCCAGACATAAAATGGCCAAGACACTTCTCTGAATCACCTCAGTGGTTCAGCCTTACAATTTCTAGTAACATCGCCTTTCAGTTTCTTCTTATCACTTCTGTTGTGGCCTTGCTGGCCTTGGCGATTTACAGCATCTGTTGAGTTTAGGGCATAAATCTTGGTCATCTAGCCTCCTGATCACTAGCTTTGACATACCATATCCCCATGGGTCAGCCACCATTCCCCCTCCCTCCGACAGGTTGAAAGAACTCAGATCCAGATTTGGATCTCTCCAACCTGCTTGCTTTGTTGGGCTGAGCCATGGAATACAAAGAGAACACACCTATTTCTCTTCTCAAAGGAATCATTTTGTTAGATAAACTTAAGTTTAACTAGCATTCAGATCAGGCAATGAAAGTGCAAAAACATTCTCATACCTGGGAGGATGGATGTAGGCCAGATCCCAGGAACTCTGAGCTCTTGTTAGTTATTCAGTTTTCCCAACCACTCAGGTTCATACTTCCCCAGGTTTACAATCGTAGATACACAATCATTAATGATGCCCATCTGTCTACAGTCTAATTTGGTATATGCTACTGAAAGGGCTTGATCTTGAAGATTCCTCCCCAGCTAAGTGGTGAATTTATAATAAGCATTTAATAACTGTTTAAGATGGCTTTTCAAAGGTTATTATTTAGGCTTCAGCTCTTGACAATGAATGCTATTCTTTATGGAAATGGGTTTCAGTTACTGTGTCTTACTATGGTCAAACACTTAATAGTGCTTTCCTGTTTAAATGGGCAAAAACATGGAGTCTCACCCTGCAAGCGTGACTCTACACAAAGTTACCCAAGTTTTATTCCAGTCTTTAATGGAGGATATGTATAAGGTGGAGGCATTTCTGCCAAGGCCTCTAATGTGTTCCTTACAATCATCTGAAGGAAATTAAGCTGTCCTTGGTTTTCATGTCCAGATGAGATTGCCCTGTTTTTGTCCTATCAAATAACTGACACATTAGGTCTTCAAAGCTTCTTGAAGTATGTGACACTAGCTTTCACACAGGCTGGTCTTGAAGTATGTGACACTAGCTTTCACACAGGAAGGGCAACAGACATCTTCCTGGCCTGAAAAAGCTGACCTGTTTCCTTAATTAGGCCATCATAGATAGACACTGCCAGAACAATCTGGCAAACACTAGCTACTTGTCCTGCAATCACTAGAAGGGTGGACAAGAAGCATCAAGTTGATTCTAAGGAGCAGCGTAATTTTCTGTCACCCAACACTCTTTTCCATTGGTGCTACTGTTTCTAATAAGGAAGCATAACAGTTGAGATGAATGCCAAAAGCTAGTCAAAGCTTTTAGGACCTGTTTGAGAGAGTCATACTTTTCTGCCACTCTCCAGTTCAGAATTGAAAGTTATCACATTTTCCCTGTCACCCATGGTTGTGAATGTTGTCACTTTCCTACCAATGGAGCAGAAGGAAAACCTCTTAGTCCTTATTAGAAAAGGACTCCTCTGCAAGCAACCCTAGGTGCTGCTGATTATTGCCTTGTTGATCTGCTGCTTACAGTTTTTACGAGATATTCTTCCTGGCTAAAAGAATTAGAAGGCCTTAAGAAGATCCTAAATCTTGTTGAGGACCTTCCTGTTGGGGATTCAGAGCTGTGCAGCACAAGAACTGAACATATGTCATATGTTTAAGGACTTCAAAACCACTGTAGACAGCTTTGGAGTTCACCAGCTCCTAAGAAAAAAAACGACATCATCTGTGCTGCACTCATATGCATACTTACAATTGTTTCTTCTAGCACGTCACACCTCGGAACTTCCCTGGAGGCGTTAATGGTTCAGACTGCTGACAGTCTGATGCTTCTATTGAAAGATGCCGATCACTATGCTAAGTGGACATACAATGCAGTTTAGTTTATTGACTCCCAAATCCCTCTTTTTAGGGCTCTTTTCCCTGCTCCAGCAGAAGGTACTGTCCCTAGTAGCTTTGCAGGCAGTAGAAAATGAAATGGCATCCTTAAATAGTTATTCTATGCTTTTACAGAGGAAGAAAGGATGGCATCCCATTTTGGGCTTAAAGCTCAGGCTCATTATTAGGCTCAAGTTCAGGATGGCCGCTCTAGTGCCCACTATACTGCAATCTCTGGGTGCCTCCATCAAGGCTCTATAATTACAGCCTGCCTTATCCTGAGTTGGGAACTGTATTGCATATCTTTCCATTCACATATCTTATTCCTCAAGTACTCCACAAGGT